ACATGCAAGTGAATTGGATGTAAGTGAGGAAGGCTGTGCAAAGTCACCAGCCTCAGAAGATGACACATAGAAGGAAGCTGAAAAACAGGGAGTTAAGGGAAGAGAAGGTAAAGGTCTATAGCTGAAGTAGAGAAAGTCCAGAGAATCTGGGGTGGAGAATGAAGAAGAAAGAAGACATGGCTGTCCTGGGTACTTTTCTTTAAATGGAGGTTCTGGGATGGTTCAGTCAGAGGAAAGGATTTCAGAGATGGTGAACGTATCCAGTGTGAGAAGCCAAGGGGTGGAGCAAACTACATGGGCGAGGAGGCTGGGCACTCCCTTAATTGAAAAGAAAGCTAGCTCCTGCATTGTGCACTCTCTCCCTTCAACCTCCCCCACCCCCTCACCCCAACCCTACCCTCTCCACCATCACCACCCCACCAAGGCATTAAGTAACTGAGACTTCCAGAAAGTGTGGGGGATGGACTGGCCCTTCCTCAACCCAGCAACATAGTGATCACTCTCACATGGCAGCTAAAGTAGGGGGACTCCTTTAGGCAACCTTATGCCTGAGACTCTGGCTGCCTTTTGTGTGTTTCCTTTCTTAAATAAGTGACTAAGCAAGGTGGGTAGATCTAGGCTTATAAGTATCTTGTGAGTTTGAGAGGTCTGGAGGGACTGGATCCATGGAGTAAAGCTGACTAGAAGAGAAGGGAATTTCTTCATGAGATAAGATGACCAATAAGAAGAGGAAACAAACCAAGTAGAAACTGAAGAAGACAGTGCAGAACTGAGGTGAAATGTAAAATGCCTACTCAACCAGGCTGCAATCAACCTCCCAGCAGGCTAGTTATAAATTAAGAAATCCTGTTTACACCATTCTGTCCATCTATACTATCAATTTTTTATGTTTAGCATTTTTTTGTGTGTGTAGGAATAAATTACCCATCCCATACCTCATTCGCATTATACACTGAATAATTTTACTCTTCCCACACACTCACTGGAGAGACCTCAACATGGGCCAAAAACTAGGCTTTAAATAATTTGACCAGATAGGGGATATAGCAAGTCAAAGAGCATGAGAAAAAAGAGCCTGGTCTCTCTTTTATTAGAGATGAGTATCTTCAAGAATTAAACCTGATCTGGACTATATGCATGGGTCCAGAACAGAGGGGAAGAAAGTGTGTGCAGTGTCCCAGACCCTTGAACTCGGAATCAGTTCCTCAGTGTTAGCTATAAAACATATTTCATCATGCTTATATCACCTATGTCACAGGGTTGGTATGGGGAATCATATGAAACCACATGTATGGAATAAGTTATTTTCTAGGTTTATGGATAATAAGAGCATTTATATAGCATCAACTATGTCCCCGGCACTGTTAAGCATCTTATAAATATTTCATTTGCTCTTCACAACAATACTTTGAGGTAGGCGCTGTTATTATCCCCATTTTACAGATGAAGAAACTGATGCAAATAGAAGTTTGGTTTTTCAAAGTGACTTGTCCAGGGTCACACAACTAGGAAGTATCGGAGGCCAGATTTGAACTTATTTATGTCTTCTTGACTCCAGGCCCAGCACTCTATCCACTGTACTACCTAGTTACTGGTGGATAGCTGCTAGATAGGGAAGCAGTCATGACCCAATAAGGAACAGAGTAACAAAGTGGGAAAAAGGACAGTTTTGATTACATAAAATTAAAAAGTTTTTTCACAAACACAAACTAAAATTAGAAGGGAAACAGGTAATGGGGGGGGGGGAATCTTTGCAGCAAGTTTCTCTAAGATTTTCATTTCCAAGATATTTAAGGCACTAATGCAAACTTTATGAGAACCATTATTTAATTAATAAATGGTCAAGTGATATGTATGAATAGGCAGGTTTCTAAGGAAGAAATCAAAGTAATCAATAGCCGTATTTTAAAAAGGTCCCAAATCACTAATAATTAGAGAAATGCAAATTGAAGCAACTCTGAAATCCTGCTCCATACCCATCAGACAGGCAAAGGTGATAAAAAAAGGAAAATGACAAAGATTGGGCAGGCTTTATTGTTGGTGGAGGTGTGAATTGGTCCAGTCATTCTGGAAAAGTAATTTGGATCTATTCCTGAAAAGTTACCAAGCTGTTCATACATAACAATACCAGTACAATGACTACATCCCAAAAAAGATCAAGGAAAGTGGAAAAGGAGCCCATATGTACAAAAATACTTATAGCAGCTCTTTTTGTGGTGGCAAAGAATTAGAAACTAAGGGGATGCCCATGAATGAGGGAATGGCAGGAAAAATTACAGTATGTCAATGTAATAGAATACTATTGCGCCATAAGAAATGATCAAAGGGATGATTTTCAAAGAAACCAGGAAGACTTTGTATGAACCGATGGTGAGTAAAGTGAGCAGAACCAGAAAAACAATTTATATCACCAACATTATAAAGACAAACAATTTTGAAAGATTTAAGAATTCTCAGCAACTCAGTGACCAACTAAGGATTCCAGAGGATGCAAGATGAAATAGATGAACTATGCTACCCACCTCCTGACAGAGATAACACCTAATAATAATAACTAGCATTTACATGTCAGCTTAAGGTTTCCAAAGAGCTTTACAAATATGATCTCATTTTATCCTTGCAAGAATCCTGGGAGATAGGAACTATTAGTATTCACATTTTATAGATAAGGAAACTGAGGCAGACAGAAGTTAAATGAGAAGCAGCTAACTAAGGTCTATATCCCAAAGACATCTAAAAAAGGGGGGGGGAGACCTATTTGTACAAAAATATTTATAGCAGCTCTTTTTGTGGTGGCTAGGAATTGGAAATTAAAGGGATACCCATCAATTGGGGAATGTCTAAACAAGCTGTGGTATATGATTGCGATGGAATATTCTTGTACTATAAGAAATGCCCAGGATGATTTCAGAAAAACATGAAAAGACTTACGTGAACTGATGCATGGTGAAGCGAACAGAACCAGGAGAATGTTGTATTCTGTAACAGCCATATTTGTTTGATGAAGAACTGTGAATGACTTAACTATTCTCAACAATACAATGATCTAAGACAACCTCAAAGAACTAATGATGAAGCATACGATTCTCCTCCAGAGAAAGAACTGATATTGTTTCAATACAGACTGAAACATGCTATTTTTCACTTTCTTTAATTTTCAAAATTTTATTTGGGTCTTCTTGTACAACCTGACTAATATGGAAATGTTATACATAATTGCACATCTATAACCTATGTCTGATTGCTTACCATCTCAGGGAGAGGGGATAGAATTTGGAAATGAAAACTTGAAATAAAAATTAAAAAAAAAAACAACTACCTAGGTGGTATGGTGGATAGAGCATTAGGCCCAGAGTCAGGAAGACTGGAGTTCAAATCTGGCCTCTGATACCTACTAGTTGTTTGTCCCTGGGCAAGTCACTTAACCTCTGTCTGCCTCAGTTTCCCCAATTATAAAATGGAGATAATAATAACAACACATTTTTTAGGGTTATTGTGAGGAACAAGGGAGATATTTGTAAATCACTTAGCATAGTGCCTGGCACATAGTAGGAGCTTAATAAATGCTCATTTCCTTCCTTCCTTAAGTGACTTGCCAAGGTCACATGGCTAGTAGGTGTCTGAGGCAGGATTTGAACTCATATCTTCCTAATTTTGGCCCAGCATGATATCTGTTACACCACCTAATTACCAGAGAGGTGATAGACTCAGAGTGCAGAATGAGATATATTTTTTTGCATATGACCAATGCTGGAATTTGTTTCACTTGACCCAACATTTGTTACAAAGATCTTATTTAAGTTGTGGTATATGAGTGTAATGGAATACTATTGTGCTATAAGAAATATGTGCTATAAGAGCAAAACCTGGAAAGACTAACATGAACTGATGTTGAGTGAAGTGAGCAGAACCAGGAGAACATCGTACACAGTAACAGCAATATTTTATGATGGCCAACTTTGATAGACTTAGCACTTCTCAGCAACACAAGGATCTAAGACAATTCCAAAAGACTCATGATGGAAAATGCTATCCACGTACAGAGAAAGAACCAGGGAGTCTGAATGCAGATTGAAGCATAATATTTTTTCTTTGTTTCTTTATTTCTTGGTTTTCCCTTTTGTTCCAATTCTTCTTTCACAACATGACTAATGTGGAAATACGTTTAATGTGATTGTATATATATATAGCCTATGTCAGATTGCATGCCATCTTGGAGAAGGTGGAGTTGAGGGAGGGAGAAAAAAATTTTGAACTCAAAATCTTGTAAAAGTGAATGTTGAAAACTATTTTTACACGTAATTGGCAAAAATAAAATACTAATAAGTGTGGGGGGGAACCCAAGGATTTTATCTTTTTCTTTTTCTCAATGTGGGGAGGGGGAAGATGGGACAAAGAGAAAATAGATTTTTGTCCATTAAAAAAAGAAATGAAATTAAAAAGAAATCACACATATGTGAAGGTATAAACTGTCAAGTCCTGTGTAAATGCCAGCTGCCATTTCTTTCATTGACCTCCAGCTACTCCCATGATATCATCTAAGTCTTTCTCTGGGCACTTCTGTCATACACCCCCACCCTCTGGCTTGATAGTGAGTACCTTCCAGAGCTCCTGGGAGTCTGGACATGTTCAGCATGTACTGTTCCTGCCCCCAGCATGTCCCCTTCTCGGTCTCTTGCCCAGCACAATGGATGCCACCCTGTTCCCTGCCCATGCTCTGTGTGTGTGCGGGCATAAGGGTAAAGAGATGGGCCAGGAGCCAGGCACAGCAGGAAAAAGAATGTCAATGTGGAGATGGTAGAGCAAAGGGAGCATGACCAGGAAGTTGGCATGGCTACCAGGGTCCCTTGGCACAGAAGTATGCTCACTGTTCTGAAGTATGTTAAAGAGCTGGAGAGACCATGTGTCGTTTCCCTGCCCCCTCCCACTACCACCACAAAGGATCCAGCCTCCAAAGAGGCTTGTCCTACGCCAAGTGGTACTTGGGAGAGAGTCTGGAACCCCAGCCAGGACCAGAGTGAGAGAGCAAGAGACAAGATCCCAGGCAGCAGGGAACTCAAGGTAATTATAATAATAAACAATAATTTAAAAATATCTGACATTTATAGCAGGTTCTGTACACAGTGTACCATTTGATCTTTATAACAATTCTGCAAGGCAAGTTTTACAGGTCTGATTATTCCCATTTTATAGATGAAGAAACTGAGACCTGGAGATGTTATGACTTGCCTGTGGTCACACAACTAATAAATGTCAGAGGAGAGAAACTAGGTTTTTCCTTACACTAAATCCATCGTTCTTCCCACCATGTCATTCTGCATCCATTACAATTAACAAGCAGAGGTGAGAGGTGAGGAAACAGAACTGGCCTGGAGCCAGAGCAGAACGAAGCCCACTTCTAGGGACTGGATCAGGCTGCTTGGGTTATTGTTTGGGTGCTGACACCCTACTAAGTGGGTTGTGCTGTGAAAGAAGAAGGATCTGGCCCTCTGGACCCTCTAGCTGGGGCCCTGTCCCATTTTCTGCCCTGACTCTGTTCACTGGACAAATCCTTCACACTCAAGGATGTGATGGGGGCCCTTCAAGAAACAGAATATGAAAACTTCAGGATGTGATAAGGTTGTTGTGAGTAAAGAAAAGGGCTTGATAAATTTATAGAAATGGATTGCTGCTTCCATTCAAAAATAAGCTGGCAAAGTGAGCAAAGGCTCAACTTAGTATCAGGAAGACCTGGATTTGGATGCCTTCCTCAGACCTTTATTAACTATGTAACCCTGGAGTAGAGACTTAGCCTCTCAGAGCCTCAGTATCTACATCTGTAAAAGGGGGAAAATTATAATAACACCTACCTCATGGGGCTGTCCTGAGGATCAAACAATCTAATCTATGGAAAGCATTGTTGTGTTTTTTTTTTATGCAAGCTTATTACTCCATTGTATGCCAAGAAGGGCTTCTCTGTCTCTGTTCTTTCCAGTGCCACTCTCTACCCAGTCCTCATGGCACTTCCAGATGGGTTGAAAGTTGAATACTTTTTTTGTCGGTCTTGAAGGCAGGTAGAGAAGGACCTGGAAAGGGGATTACTGGCCCATGGACATACAGGAAAGTAAGGAACAGATCTGGGGCACAAACCCAAGGCCTCTGGTTCCATGTTCAGTATTCCTATCATTATGCCGCGGTGCTAAGTCCCTGAGCTGATATAAGCTCGTCTTCCTGTGTCCACTCCACAATGCCCATTGCTCCCCACCCCTTCTTTTGCCCCCAGGATTCTTATTGAGGCAGCTGTGGGAGGCACCCTAGCAGGACAAGTGTTTGATTCTTCGGTTATTACCCTGGAACACTAAGAAAGAGCAGTTTGTGTGGCCAAGGAGAGGATTTACAGGTGCCTGAGGAATGAATGGACTAGGGGGCTGGGAGGGAGCCAGAGAATGAAAGGTTGGGCGTTGGAGGAAAAACTAAAGTCTAGAAGGGAAGTAAAGAATAGGAACGGCCTAGGCCCTAGCCTTTATTCAGTCTTCAAATCTCAAGCTCCCAGGGGTAAGAGAAGGAACTGAGAAGCCTAGGGTAAGTTACTTTCATTCCTCAGCTTGAGGGTTGGGGAGACAGGCTGTCAAGAAGCCATACCAGTTACTGAAACCCTGGGGTAAGTGCTAATGCGAGGATACTACATCTTGTTCCTTTTCTGTTCTTACCCTCCCTTTTTTTCTTCTTGGTTTTCCTATCCCTATCCCATTTCTCCTCTCTACCTTAGGCTTCCCATCCCAACTCTTCCTATCATTCCTCTCCCACCATCTGAGATTTCCCAGATTCCCCTCCTCCCACTTTTCCCAGATCCCCCACCTCTTTGCCTCTTTCCTTTTTCTCCTGACACTTGCTGTCCCCTGTCTCTTCTCCTCTTCTTCCTCAACCTCCTTTCTTATTCCCTACAACCTTTCCCTTCTCCCTCTCCTTTGACCCCTGCCTTTTGCCCCTCTCCACAGATGACAAGCCTCTGTAGATGGCCTCTGTCCGTGGTGGTGTGCCTGCTGCTGATGTTGGCAGGCTGGGGAGCTTGTGCAGTAATGCAGATTCCAGACTATCCCGGGGAAGAAGCCAACATTGAGCAGATGGAAGACTTCCTGTTCAATCTTGGCAAAGAATTGGAGGCTATCAACATGTCCCCGTGAGTGCAGACTGGGGCACCAGGGCAGCCTTTGGTTTGTGTATCTGTGTGTATGTGTGAAAGCAAGGTGTGCCAATGAGGAGGGAGAGGGGGAAAAGGGTCTGTGTGCGGTATTGTTTGGGAGTGCTAGGCACTATGTGATGGGAACCAGAGAGGTCAAGACAGGCAATGCCCATTCTACTTCTCTCCCTGGCAGTTACCGAAGGAGGAGACGCTAGGAGATCATGAAACATTTCCGCAGATTGTTGCTTCAGAGCCTTGGGCCAGGCTCCAAATTCTATTCTCTCCCAGGACCAAGATTCTAAAGTGAGATGAATCAAGTGGATCCCAAAGGCTGCAACAGTGTGGGGATGGATGGGGGGTGGGGAGGTCCTCACAGCCTACAGCATAGAGATTGAATTACAATGTTAAAAAAAAAATGCTTAAAAAAGAAAGTGAGATGCCACTCTGAATTCCCCCTCTGGCTCCTGAGACTACTGAATGAGGATACTTAATATTTAGGCTTCCCAGACTATCACCACCAGTGGCAATGTCCTCTTGTCCTCTCAAAAGCCCTGTACCCCCCCCACACACACATACACATATGCATACACACATATACACATGTAACTTCTTCATTTCAAATATTGCATTCTCCTCTGCTCTTCCCCCAAATTTTCTGGTATGAAATATAGCTTTTTGGAAACAGTACCAGATAGAGTGTCTAGAGACCTCTAGCCCTTAGTAACCATGTGATCCTTTGCAAAGCACATCCATCACCCTGGTCTCCAGTTTCCTAATCTGTAAAATGGGGATATTAATATTTGTTCCACCTTCTATACAAGACTGTTGTGGGGGAAATGCTTTATAAACCTTAAAATTCTATAAAAATATGAGTGATTATTGTTTCCTTGGGGGCATTATGGATTCGACTCCCCAAACACAAGGTATCTCCCCAAACAGAAGACTACCTGTAATACCCCACTGAGGCATGGGATGCCGTGTGGCTGTGAATCATGGAACACCAGGATACCCAAACAACCAAAGTAATTGTGGGCAACCAAAAGCATGATGGAGAGATGAGTGGAAGGTCTCGGTATGCTATATATGCTGTAGCATATCACACATACAAAAAGTGAATTAATGACTGAAAAAACTTACTATGTTGCCCAGCACTATTCTAAAGACTGAGGATACTAATAGGAGAAGCAAGACAGTCCCAGCTGTCAAGAAGTTTCTAATATAGGGGCAGCTAGGTGGATAAAGCTCTGGCCTTGGAGTCAGGAGGACCTGAGTTCAAATCCAGCTCAGACACTTGACATTTACTAGCTGTGTGACCCTGGGCAAGTCACTTAACCCTAATTGCCTTACCAAAAAGAAAAAAAAAAAGTTTGTAATCTAATTGGGGGAGAGACAACACATAAAAGAAATTTCAGCTACAGGGCAGATGGCAAGGCCCAAGGGTCCTTAGGTTAAATAGGTAGTAAAGATGATAGTTTTGGGGGGTTACAGGGCATAGAGACAAGAGAGATGGTAAGAGCTAGAGAATTCTAGGAGGCAGCCACAGGGAAGGTGGAAAAGCTTGATTGCCCTACCTCTTACCAAAAGGAATGGAACTGTTGACTCCCATCTCATCCAAGCCTTTTCACCAGAGAAGCAGACAGGGCAAAGGGGGCAGGAAAGGGGGGTACCCCCAAGGGTAGTGACTCTACCTGACCCTGGATGAGTGGGGAGAGGTAGAAGGGGAGAAGGCAAAAGAAGAAAGAAGCATACACACCACTTGCCCCAGAGGCTATTTCCAGACATCTCAGATGTGTTCTGATAGTGTGTCATGAAAGACATCATTCAGGAAATGTATTTAGGAAAAGGAGGGTGGGTCATTCATGTAATGTGAGCAAGGGACAACAGACAGAGAGAGTGAGTCCTGAACTGCTACCCATGACATGTTAAAGGACCCAAAGAAAGACCTATGATGCATTCTGTAGACCCCTTTGAGAGCATTTATAGGACACAGACAAGAAATCACACAAAACAAGTACTAAATGGCCATCTACACCAGTGGAAGGAGAAGGTCACAGATCCCCTGATGTATACCCCCTGGTGTATACTGTCTTCCAATTGATACTTTTTAAAAATAAATTTTTGTTGATCACTTTTGCTTTTACATTAATTTTTTCTTGCTGTGTCCCTCACCCCTCCCTGCTCCCAGAGAATCATCCTTTATAACAAAGAATTTATAATTTACAACTAATACAATTTTTGCCCCTAGAAATCCAGTTCTTTTACAAATCAAGTCCCCGTTAAAAAGATCTAGCAACAGTCATTACTTGTTTATATATTCCATGCTTCAAATATACTTTAAAATGTTTTTAAAACTTACAAATAAGAGGGGAAAGGCTATTTTCCATCAAAAGGGATATAATTTTTACACTTTATGATAAATATACATTTATTATGTGTATTATGTAACATTACATAGGGAAAGACTTACCAACTCTTGGTAGCTCAGGGCCCCAATCTGTCAATCAATAAATGTTTATTAAGAGCCTCTCGCCTTTGCCCTATGTTTAGACCTTTAAACTAGTTCTGGGTACTCTGCTAAGCACTCTTCATCCACCACTGGCATCACTGTCTCTCAAAGAAGCATCATTGTCCTTCCATGTTTCTGGGAATCCCAGGGAAGAGGTGCAGATATCTAAGTGTTATTTCTCATCACCATCAGGATTCTCATCCACCACCCCAGACTTCTTTAATGGATACATGAGAGCAGCAGCAGGTGCATGAGAGAGCACCCTCCCCAAGTCTCCAGAGAAACAGGCAGAATACCTGATTGAAGAAGACGAAAAAGGCCATAGTGGGCACCTGGCCCTCAGTGCAGGGCAGGCATCTAGAGTGAAGTCCAGGTGGGAGGGGGTAAGGAAAAGGGGATACACTCAATAATTAACATAGTGATGCACCCAGAGAATAATGTACATGATACATAATAATAACTTACATATCTATAGCTTGCTAAGATTTACAAAGCACTTGTCTCATAACAACCCAGTGAGTTAGGGAATGCAAAAATCTCACTTTATTGTTTTGGAAACTAAAATTTAGGTCATTTGCCTAAAGTCACACATTTTGTAGGTGTCAGAGCTCGCATTTGAAACTCTAGGTATTCCTGATTCTAACACAGTGTTCTTTGTACCACATGACGTGGCTTCTTATGTATGCTACTCAGTGATACACATAGCCAGATTCAATTGATATATAGATATAGATATTTATTTATTTATTTATTTATAGTTATAACAGGGCATATATACATACATACATACATACATACATACATACATACATACATACATACATACGTGTGTACATACCTGCCACAGTTGCTTTTCAAAACATCAGAGAAAGTGTTATTCTAATATCCCTTCATGGCCTCTGTCAGGGGAAGAAGACCTCGGAGCTCCTAGCAGAGTTTATTGTTAATATTGTTTGTCCTTCGTTCTTTCTTTTTTGCATATTTTATTAATTTATTTTGATTTATCAACAATCACTTCCATAAGCTTTTGAGTTTAAAATTTTTCTCCCTCTTCCTCCCCACCTCCCTCCCCAAAATGGTGCACAATATGATATAGGCTATACATTTACATTCCTATTAAACATATTTTCACATTAGTGAAGTTGTAAGTAAAAATTAAACCAATAGAAGAAACCATCAGAAAGAGGAAACAAAACTCAACAGAAGAGAAAAAAAAATTCACATTCACAGTTATGATTACTATCTGTGTCTTTTTCTCCATCCTTTCCTCCCCGTTTATGCTTTTCTTTCTACTTTCTCCTTTCCCCCCCCACTAGTGTTTTGCTTTTGACCACAGCCTCCTTCAGTCTCTCCTCTCTTCTATTATTCCTTTCCCTTTTCTTTCCCTTTACCCTTACTGCTTCTTCCCTCCCTCCTATCCCCCCTCCCTTTTCTTTCCCCTTTTCCTTCCTACTGCCTATAGGGCAAGTTAGATTTCTATATCTAACTGATTGATTATGTTATTCCCTTCTTGAGACAAATCTGATGAGAGCAAGGTTCAAACAATGCTCACCCCCCTCCCTTCTTTCCCTCTGCTGTAACAGGATTTTCTGTCTTTTCCTGTAATGTAATTTACCCTTGTCTGCCTCCTCCTTTCTCAGTACATTTTCTAAGATCAGGCTAATCCACTTACTTGGGTCCATTTAACCCACTTGATTAGATTTTTTTTATCATTACATCAAAGTCAACTAATATCCACCCCCTTTATGCATATATCCTTTAACATGGTGTAATAACAATACAGTTCTCAAGAGTTGCAAGTGTCATCTTCCCTTGTAGGGATGTAAACAGTCCACCCTTATTAACAATATTTTGTATCTTTCTGTCCCATTTACCTTTTTATGTCTTTCTTGAATCTTGTACTTGAAGATCAAATTTTTTGTTGAGCTCTGGTCTTTTTATGAGGAAGGTTTGGAAGTCCCCTATTTCATTGAATAGCCATCTCCTCCCTTGAAAAATCACACTCATTTTTGCAGTTCAGTTGATCCTTGGCTGCCATCCAAGCTCCTTTGCCTTATGGAATATCATGTTCCACGCCCTGTGGTCTTTTAATGTAGAAGCTGCAAGGTCCTATGTAACCTGACTGTGGTTCCATGATATTTAAATTGTTTCTTTCTGGCTGCTTGCAGCACCTTCTCTTTCGTCTGGTAATTTTGGAATTTTGCTATCATATTGTTTGGCATTGTCAATTTGGGATCTCTTTCAGGTGGTTGAGCGGTGTATTCTTTCTATGGTTATTTTACCTTCTGGTTCTAGGACTTCAGGGCAGTTTTCCTTCATGATTTCCTGCAAGATACTGTCCAGGCTCTTTTTTTTCATCATGATTTTCAGGTAGTCTAATGATTTTTAAATTTTCTCTCCTGGATCGATTTTCCAAGTCGGTTGTTTTACCAATGAGGTATTTTAAGTTTTCAGCCATTTTTTCATTTTTCTGTTTCTGTTTGACTGATTCTTGCTCTCTTATGAGAGAGTGTCATTAGTTTCCATTTGTCCAATTCTAGTTTTTAACAGACTGTTTTCTTCTGTCAGTTTTTGTACTTCCTTCTCCAATTGGCCAATTGTATTTTTAAGGGATTTGTTTTCTTCAATGTCCTTTTTTTTCCAATTTGCCAATTGTGTTTTTTAGGGACTTGTTTTCTTCAGTGTACTTTTTTTCCAATTGGCCAATTGTATTTTTGAAGGACTCTTCTATCTCTCATTAGACTTTTTAAATCCTTCTTGAGCTCTTCTAAAGAAGGTTTTTTGGGCTTCAGACCAGTTCATATTCCTTTTTGATGTTGCAGATGTGGGTTTGTTGACAATGTTGTCCTCTTCAGAATTTCTGTCTTGATCTCCACTCTTCTCATAATATGAATCTATGGTACATTTCTTTTTACTCATGGTTTCTTTATTACCTGACCTTTAAAGAGATTGAGCTCTCCTGCTGGGGAACAGAGAGCACTGACCCAAGCTTCTTTTGCTGGGAGCCTAGGTCTTGGTAACTGGCTTTGTGTGCTGGGGCCTTTTATGTTGGCAATTGTAGGCTGTAGGGTTTTGGCAGCTTACCTCATGTTGGGCTGGAATCAGCAAGGCTGGAACTTTCAGGCAATTCTAGGTTGTCTGCTTTTCCTTTCCTTTAGCTTTCTTTAGTTCCTTTTAGATGGGTGCTGCAGGGTGTTTATCTGCCTGGGGCCCCTTGCAATGCTGCCTCCCTCATTTCTGCTAATGCACTGGGAGATTCCTTTGCAGTAGGGTGTTTTTCTGAGCTGCTTTCCACCAGTTCCCCGCCCTTGCTGAGGCA